GGGAGCCCAAGCTGCCCAGCGCTGCCAAACAGCCGAGGCTTTATTCCAAAGTCACGGAGGAAATGAGGAGGTTTTAGGGGTTTAGACGCTTGTGAGGGGGATTTTTTTTTTCTTTTTTTTTTTTTTTGTGTGCTGGTTTTAGTAACAATACCTATTTGAACTCCTGCGCTATTCCAAGTGCAACTCACTATTAACAAATCCCTGCTATTTTGCAGAATTATGTAAAAATTACATCACCACCTAGTATTTCTCTTAGTGAGATTTTACTTGCCAGGAATCGACTTCTTTGGCTGAAAAGGAACGAGCCTGCTCAATCTGAAGTCTGTTCTTCCTCACATGGGAAAGGGTTTTGTTCCTTTTTCCTTCCCAGGGAGCAACATCATCTGTTTTCCTCCTCAGAGGCAAGAAGCCCAATTTTCCCTGTAAAAATCCAGAGGCGGGAGGGCATTTTCCATCAAAACCCCTGATTTGGGATAAATATGGAGCCAGGATCCCTTTGATGTCTCCTTCCAGCATCAGTCACCGGATGGGCTGAAAACACTGTGTTTCAGGGTAATGGGGAGTCCAATAAAACTGCACATGCCTCCTTTCCTTCCAGACCTGCATTCCCTGCATTAAAGAGCTATTGTGACAAGCTGATAGAAATCCACAAATTTGCAAGTTAGCTCTTCTCTGTATTTTTGCATCAAATGTACAACTAGTTGGGGGGAAAAAAATATATATGTGTGTATATATATATATATTTATTTATACACACACACCAACAACGACATTCAGTTCCTCCTGGCTAGCATTGCTCTTGTTAATGCAAGCCATAATGTCTTTCAACAACTCTTAATTTTCACTTTTTGCACAAGCAAAAAGCAGTTTGCAACATGCTAGATGGGCGCACCCATCTACTGATAATGCAAAGCTGATTATTGTCCATGGGACAGTTAAGTTTCTCTCTTTGCAAAAGCCTCTCTGTTTCCCTGCAGATCTGTGAAGCAATTCGATTTGGGAAAATCAAAATCTTTGGCTTATCTGTGGTATCGGGGGATTAGCGAAGTTAGGTGGATTTTAGGCCGAAATGCCCCATTTTGCTTTCAACTGTGTTTTTGTGCAAATTCAGGGACAACCCACTAAAAGTGGCATCGGATTGAGGATGCAACCTGGAGCCCCACTGCAAACAGCAGCAACGGGAGCCGTGACGGAGGTGGCCGGCCGGGAAACCCACCTGGAAGAGGCTGCGGAGGAGCCGCGAGGCAGAGGCTGGACAGGAACAAAGGTGCTGATTTAAAGAACATCATCCAATACTCTCAAAGCTAAAATATATCTAAAAAAAAGTCAAATTGCAGAAAATAAAGGTGTCCCAGGAGAGCACGGCCACAAAACCGCACGCACAGGAGCGGGACCGGGGCCGTCTCCCCGCAGTCGCTGCGCACGAGGAGGAAAGAACTAAAGAACTGGATTCTGCGTTTGGTTTCTCCTCAGCCTTGCACTGCACGGAGCCTCGGAGACTATTTGGGTTTAAAATCAGAGATATTTGGGGATTTTGCTCCTCTCCCATAGACGGACCTAGTTCTTAAGCTCCACTTTGCAAGTTTGGGGTTTTATTGCCTTCCCCTTCATGAGTCACTGCTGGAATCCAGAGGTAGATTCCAGACCTTGTACCCACCGGAGCCAGCTCAGTTTGACCGTGGATTCATTATTTTAATCAAGATTTGGAATTAGCAGCAAAAGGAAGATGAAGTTCAGGATAACCAGTTCCCTTGTGTAGTTTAGAAAACAGTCCCAAATCAGACATAGCATCTTGGCCCTCTCTAGTCGCTCCCACCACAAGGCAGGTTAAGCAAAGCTTAACCCATGTGCTTCACTGTTCCACAAGGCAGGTTAAGCAAAGCTTAACCCATCTGCTTCACTATTTCACTAAGCACAGCTCCCATCCCACTGAGAATACAGAGCACTATTAAAAAGAAGGCTCAAAGGGAAGCAAGCTCTTCCCTTTCCAAAAGTTCTCCGCCTTTTCTACAATCAAATTTTTTTTTGAAAAGAGTTAAAGATTTATTAAGAGTACCCCAGAAAGTCACGTAAATCATGAGAGCATCATCTTTGAAGAGAGAAAGGTGGCATGATTTAAGGAAAAAAAATGTGTTTAGCACTTAAACATTCCTTAGGTGCTTAATTTTCACAGCTCCATGGGATTCAACTCTCCAACTATAAAGATTTTTTATTATTATTATTATTATTATATTGACAAGATTTTTTCCACATTAGGCAATTTCCTTCCTTACCCACAAAGGAACTGCAAGTAAATACGGGCTCGACGCTGAATACCCAGTTTCAGAGAGCAAACATTTAACCTCAGACCTTCCTCTCCAGGATCAGGACGGGAACCGCTTTGGGAATAGGGACAACTAAATAAGCCCGGGGAAAAGCCACATTGCAACCCAGCTACGGCTTCAAGAGGCAAGAAGTAGAAAGAGCAGAATTAAAAGTATATGTCTGTACACAGCGAGCGCTTTATTACCGCCTCTAACCATTGCAACGCAGAGGGCAGGCGAGCGGCCCATGACAGCCTCTCCGTGCCTAGAAAAGTTGCTTCCAGTGGGGCTGCAGGCAACATTTGCATCCAGTTACCACTGATATTTTAGCTTTAACCGGTTTCAGACATTCCTGCAGGGATCGTCTAAAGTACGTCTTTATTAAGTCCCCTTCCTTAAACAGCGAGGGCCGCCTGGTTTGGACACGCGCCGCCTCTGACAATGACCATCTTTGTCCCGTCCAGCTGCAGCAAATTTAAGATAATCTCTGTTTCGAGTGGGCTTTTTTCCTCTTCCACGGAAAGACCATCCTGAGGCAAAACAATTATTTCCAGGTCAGGCACTAGTAAGAGCTAAGGCCCCGCTGGAAAGAGGGGTGCCCGACATGTGGCAGGCAGGGTGTCCGGATCAGCTAAGCTTGGTCTGGACACGGCCGCCCGCCCGGCTCCTTGCAGGGGTGGCTGGAATCACACTGGAAAACCAGGGGCAGCCCCCACCAGCACAACGGGAAAGACACCAGAGCGAAGGAAGAAAAAGATTGGGGGCTCTGCTCCATTGCCATAAATTAATGGGATTTGTTTAAGAGTAAGTTTGGTTTAAACTGCTGCGAGGCTCTTCAGGAGGACTCTTCTCATCTGCACCTCGGGCATAAGCAGAATGTGGTTAAAATATGATCCGAGTAGGAGAAAAACCATTTGCGGGACAAAACAAAGAAGGTGAATGTGTTTCCCTAACAGAGGAGCCATTTATAAGCACAGGAACGGCTTTAACCCGAGCACAGGTTTTTGTGAAAGAACGAATATTGGTGACGAGCTGCAGCTTTTATTGCCTAAAGGCTGCAGCAACGTTGTCTTGGGAACATCCCGGCACCTCCAGTCACAACCCCATCCACACGGCACCCCCATCCACAACCCCAGGCGGGAAAGCCGGGCAACCGCCCGACACCATCGATTTAGCGAGAAGGAAACCCCAGATAAAGCACGATAAGAGCGATGTGTGTTATTATATATTAACCAAGTCTTATCTCCAAGCATTAGGAGAAAACCTGTTTCTCAGAAAAGGAAGGGCATCCAAAACAAGCTTTTGTAGTTGCCTATGGCCATCTTAGTCCCTACCCTGCCGTAAATCCATGGGGGTTATACAATGTCCACAAGCAGAACTGTGCAAGCAGCTTTTTTGAGTTTAACCCAATGGGTTAAAACCAAAAAACCCCATGGGTTTGCTGCCCACGAGACAGCATTAACCACACACGAGGAGAAAACCCTGACCTCGGCCCACCTCGAGAGCCTCTTACGCAAGGGGGAAAGAAAGGAAAGAGAGAATAACCCTAGAAAAGGAAATGTCCCCAGTTGCTAGTGACAGAGCTCCTGCGCAGGCCACGTGATGACCAGAGGAAATGGAGCTGGGTGATGCTCTCGGTGCCACCAGGCCCATCTCCTCGGTACCACTACAAACCCCCCCGCGGCGCCGCCTGCACCAAAACAGCCCTCCCTTTCACACACCCGGCCAGGCACGGCCTTAGGCTCGGAAACCAGGACACGCCGGCTTCAAGATGATGCACTGGAAGCGGCGCTTGACCGGTGCACAAAGACGCTGGGAAAAACAGGACTTGTCCAGCAAAAACCCATGCAGGAAACGTGCCTAGGCCAGGGAATGCACAAGCAGGGAGACATAGACACAGGGCACACACTGCAGCTTGATGGCACCGTGCGGGAGGCACCGGGATGCGGGAGGCATCGGGATGCGCAGCCGAGGCTGCCTCCAGGGAGGGGAGCACGGGCCTATTAATTAATTCCTCATTTCTGCAGAGCAATAAACGAGCGGGGCCATTCAAGGCAGAGGCGGCGACACCGGAGCGGTGGCGGGAGCTCCCCGCTCCTGCGGCCACCGTCTCCATCCGTCACTGCCATGGCGGGCGAGCAGAGCCGGAGCCGCTGGAGACAGAGCCTCCCGCCGGGGAAAGGAAAAGCCAGGGCTGCACAAGGAGCTGAGGGAAAAACAGGGGGTGAAGGAGGTCTGCGGGAATTGCTCAAATTACTGCTTTGTGGGGATGGCCTTTTTTTATTTTTTTTTTTTTAAGTATAAACGCCAGGAAACCTCTGGGAAGGCCGAGCTTCCCCCTGCAGTATTTGCAACCCAAATATTGCAGCACTGAGCTAATTCGGGAGCGCTGGCAGGCGCGCCGGCTCCGCGAGCCATCCGCTGCTCCCGGATGGCAGGAAAAAAAAAAAAAAAAAGAAAAAAAAAAAAGAAGAAGCCGTGGAATTTAGCGCAATCTTAACAGAAACGTTCACGGATGGACGCCGCGCTGCTGGAAAGGCTCGCGGGGTGTCTTCGGCTTTCCCGATCCCCGCAGGCCCGGGGCTGCCGCTCCCGAGCGCGGGGCGCCCTCAGCCCCCCGGGGGGGTCCCGAAGCGCCGGGGGGGCCCCGGCCGCGGCTTTCTCCGTGTCCCCCCCCCGCCCCAGCCCCGCACTCACTTTCTCTTGTAGTCGTCGCGCTCGCGCTTCACCTTGGCCAGCACGTTGTAGAGCGCGCGGATCTCGGGCGTGATGGTGTCGATCTGGACGCCGACGCCGTCCGGGTGCAGCCAGGAGACGCCGGGGCCCTGCAGGGTCTCGAGGCCGCCGCCGCCCGTGCGCCGCACCTGCGTGTAGCTCCAGATGGTGCCGGGCAGGCGGCTGCAGGGCGGCGCGGCGGCGGCGGCGGCGCCGGGCCCGTCCGTCTGCACGGCCTGCTCGCGTCCCAGGCTCTTGTAGCGCAGGCGGCGCTCGCGCTCGCTCTGCAGCCCCGCCAGCTGCTTCTCCAGGAGGCGGTTGCGCCGCTCCAGCTCGTGCACCTTGGCCAGGAAGCAGCGGAACCGCA